ATCAGACAAACTCCTGGCCAGTCCACTTATACTCATCCACCAAATAAGTACATGGAGTCGAAGGGTTAAGACAAACCAATCCTTCCTAATCCTAGCACTAGTAAGGTTCATAGGAGGAGCTTGAGTCCAGAGGAAATGAATGAGAAGAGAGCAAATGGGTTGTGCTTCTTCTGTGATGAAAAGTACATTGTTGGGCATAAATGCAAGAATGCTAAGCAGTTGTATTTGATGGAACTTGAGGAGCAAGAAGAAGTGGTACAAACAGAGCTGGAGGAAACACCAGAGGAACTAGCCTTGCAGATCCATGACTCAGAACAGATGACAGAACAATTAGAAATTTCCATTCATGCACTCAATGGATCATTGAGGTATAGGACCTTGAAGGTAACTGGCTATCACTACAAGAAACCATTGCATATCTTGGTTGACACAGGAAGTTCTCACAACTTCATTTATCCAGCAGTAGTGGAGCAACTAGGATGCCCAGTCACTCAGATTTCACCTCAAGTGGTGGCTGCAGCTAATGGTTTGCTAAAGGTGGACAAGGTTTGCAGGATTTCTTGGCTATTACAGGGTGCAGAATTTGCAGCTGAGTTCCTGATCCTACCATTAGGATCTTGTGGAGTAGTACTAGGGGTGCAATGGCTACTAACATTGGGGAATATCAAGATGAATTTCAGAAAGTTGACTATGGAATTCATCTATAAAGGAAATAGGCATGTTCTGAGAGGAGATGGTAGACAAATCTTGAGTCCTGAAGCTGGGAAGTTAGCCAAAATCACAGGTAATCACTCAGAACTTTGCATGATTCAGTTAGTACCCACCATGTGTAATGAAGTACAATGGTACTCTCTAGAAGCTATAGAAATGACTGAACTTGATCCTAAGTTGTTGGCTTTATTAGATGAGTTCAAAACAATCTTTGATAAACCTACTCAACTGCCCCCATCTAGAGGTGTATTTGACCATAGAATCATTTTACAAAATGGTACTGAACCAATCAATAAGAGACCTTACAGATATCCATCAGTTAAAAAAGATGTGATTGACACTCTAGTTAAACAAATGCTAGACCAGGGAAGCATTCAACCTAGCAGTAGCCCCTTTGTTGTACATGTGGTATTAGTAGGGAAGAGAGATGGGACTTGGAGACTATGTGTTGATTATAGGGATCTGAATAAGGCCACTGTAAAGAACAAATTTCCTCTACCTATTGTGGAGGACTTACTAGATGAATTAGGGGGATCTAAAGTCTTCTCTAAAATTGATCTAAGGTCAGGGTTATCATCAGCTAAGAATGGCTACTGAAGACATACCTAAGACTGCCTTTAGAACACACTCAGGCCACTATGAATATCTAGTCATGCCTATTGGATTGTCAAATGCTCCTGCCACATTCTAAGGCTTTATGAACTCTGTGTTCAATGCTTTCCTCGGAAAGTATGTGTTGGTATTTTTTGATGATATTCTAATCTATAGCAGATCCTTAGAGGATCATGTATGGCATTTAAGGGTTGTCTTCCAATAAATGGAGAAACATCAATTGTATGCTAAAAGAAGTAAGTGTTTCTTTGGGATTAAAAGGATAGAATACCTGGGCCATTTCATCACTAAAGAAGGTGTGTCCACTGATCCATAGAAGATAGAAGTTGTGAAGCAGTGGCCTATACCAACAACTATTAAATAACTAAGGGGATTCTTGGGATTAGCTGGGTATTACAGAAGATTTATTCAAGGTTTTGGAATAATCTGCAAGCCATTAACTGATCTTCTATACAAAGATAGCTTCAAATGGTCATCCAAGGCTACTGAAGCCTTTGAGAAGCTGAAGGTAGCCTTAACAAATACTCTTATATTGGCCTTACCTTACCCCACCAAGACATTTGTAGTAGATATTGATGCTAGTGGATATGGTATTTGTGTTGTTTTGATGCAGCAGGGTCACCCAATAGCCTTTATCAGCAAGGCCTTATCTCCTAGGCATGCTGCACTTTCAGTCTATGACAGGGAGTTGCTTGCCTTAGTCCATGTAGTCACTAAATTGTCCCAATATTTATTGGGACATCAGTTCATTATAAGGACAGATCAGAACGCTTTGAAGTACCTTATGGAACAGAAGTTACACACCAATTCTCACCTAATGTGGCTGACCAAACTAATGCCCTTTGATTATGTGATTGAATAAAAGAAAGGAGCAGAAAATAAAGTGGCAGATGCATTGTCAAGAATGTTAGGAGCTGAATTATTGGCATTAGTAGTATCCACTACTGACTCAGATTTACTTCAAGCTATAGTGAACAACTGGTCTTCTGATGATGAGTTGAAGATCCTTACTAAGTAGCTAAAATCCAACCCCAATACACCCTCACAATTCACTTGGCACCATGATCAATTGAGAAGGAAAGGTAGATTAGTGTAGGGAAGGTGCAGAACTTAAGGACTGACATAATAAAACTATGGCACTCCTTTCCACAAGGTGGCCATTCTGGTGTAGATGCCACCCTCAAACGACTGCTAACTCTTTTCTATTGGAAGGGGATAAGAACTGATGTGAAGAACTTCATACAAAGATGTGATATTTGCCAGAAGAATAAGGCAGATTTGGCAGCTTATCCTGGCCTTCTACAGCCCTTGCCTATACCAGAGGTAGTATGGTCCCAAATAAGCATGAATTTTATTGATGGCTTGCCTAAGTCTAAAGGCCATGAAGTCATCTTAGTGGTTGTTGACAGACTAAGCAAATATGCTCACTTCATGCCTTTAAAACACCCCTACACTGCACAATCAGTAGCCAAGGTTTTCTTTGATGTGATTGTCAGATTACATGGCTTACCTAAGACTATAACCAGTGACAGGGATGATGTTTTCTTAAGCTCATTTTGGCAGGAACTCTTCTCACTACAAGGAGTTCAGTTGAATACTTCTACAGCATATCACCCTCAGTCAGATGGTCAGACTGAAGTCTTAAATAGATGTTTGGAGACATATTTGAGGTGCTTCTGCAATGAAGACTCCACTGATTGGTACTCATATTTAGCTATAGCTGAATATTGGTACAACACTTCGTATAATTCTGCTATTCACACCACCCCTTATGAGGCTCTATATGGTCGACCTCCCCCATTACATTTGCCATACTTACCTGGTGAGGCTGCTTCAGCAGAGGTCGACAACACTTTATTACAAAGGGAGTTGAAGTTGCAACTACTTAAACATCACTTGCATAGGGCTCAATTGAGGATAAAACAACAGGCTGACTCTCACAAGACTAACAGGAGCTTTTCAGTAGGAGACTAAGTATACCTTAAGATACAACCCTATAAAAAGTCTACCTTGTCTTCTCAGCCATTCCACAAATTGGCTTCCAAATAGTATGGTCCATTTCAGAGCGAGTTGGACCTGTGGCCTATACATTGCTATTTCCACCATCAGTAAAGATTCATCCTACAGTCCATGTATCTCTCTTAAAGAAGTGCCATGCAGTCCCCGATCAGATTGCATACCCTCCTACCATTGATATTGCTAACCCCCATTATCCTAATCCCGAAGCTATTCTGCAGATGCGTATTGTGAAGAAAGAAAATAAAGTTGCTGGCCAAGTACTAGTCAAATGGTCTGGACTATCAGCAGATCATGCCACATGGGAATACTTTAATGTTCTTAAGACCAGGTTTCCTCATTTTGATCCTTGAGGTCAAGGATCTTTTGCAGATGGGAGTATTGATACACAAATTATAAGGTGGAGAAGCTATGGAAGCCACGTCAACAGAAGTCGTTAGAGTAGTTATAAAACAGTTAGTAGTTACAAACAGTGCCAAGTTAGTTAGAGTAGTTTGTTGAATTCAACTAACTGGGCTGTAATTTTCATTCCCAATCGAGTAGTATAAATCATTGTACTGAGCTCATAAAGTATTACAATTTTCTAATTCTAATTCTTCTTCTTCTTCCATTTTCTTCTCCTCTATTTCTGGGCTGGAACACTCGAGTATCCTCTGTAGATCTCCTGTACAGCTGTTGAATTCTCGAGTTACATTCCTGAATTCAAGTGTAGTTAACAATTCTGTTAACAATTAGGAGTTCATGGCTTCAAGATAATAGGCTTGTTATTAATAGAGTAAGGTCCAGAATAAATCACCTCATGCATGTCTTCAATTGATTTGAACTTAATAACATAGTACCCATTTTCATGAAGAAATAATTCAGGCGTTGAAATATTGTTCCACTTTTGTGTTACATATCTGCTCATGGAATTGTAGCCAGGCTCATCTCCTATTACATATGCAATAAGACAGCATCTCCATTTTTCTGTTTCTTTCTTAACTTCTTCCTTGTCTAATTGAACTGCTTCTTTACTTCTTTCTTAGAATCTTATGTCCTGTCTGCTCTATATAACAAGGAACCAATTATAAAAGTTTGAACATTCTTAGCGGAATTTCTAGTATCATTACTCAATGATGGCTTTGTCTAATTGTGTTTTGCACTTTACCGGTGGAAACATAAATTGGAGGAAGAAAAACTGAAATATGCATCTCCTGTTTTATAATTTGCTTGAGGATGAATTCTTACTTCTGTTAAGATTTATTTGTTTCATATGATAGTGTATATATTCTGAATTTGTTCATTGGTTTACTATGGTTCTTTTTTGTTTTGAGTCAATTTAGAAGCAGTTATGTTTCAATATTTTGTACTGCAATGTGAAGTTGATTCATCGAACAATGTTTGATTATAAAGATTTTTGAGCTAACACAAAGAATGGAGCAATGCCAACTTTCTTAGAGGGATTGTTCAATGGCAAGTCATAAATAAAGTAAGGAAATTACTATGTGGTGATAGGGCTGATGCACATTCAAGTTCTCACTCATTGCGATTTCCTTAGCGACCTCTTGCCTCTCATTATTCCACATATGGTATTATACCCTTTTAATTTTTAAGTATACATGTATATACTTATGATGCAGATAAAATGTTGAAACAACTAGCAACTGCTGAACGAGTTAAAAATGTTCGTTCAGAAGCATAAAAAGGATTTGGAGGAGCTGGCAAACATTCGCCAGGCGCTCATTTGCCTCCCTTACCATCTGGTCACAACAGAAAAAGAGATGAGCTGTTTGGCTCGGATAGCAGATGAGGAAGAGAAGCTTGTGAAGAAGATAGTTATTCCATCTTTTATTTCTGAGGAAAAACTCTCGTGTATTATTGAAATAGCCAATCATGCTGATTTTGAAATCATAGGTGAGGGGAAAGCTTAGAGTATTTCAGTAGTATATTACATTTCACTTTGGTTCAATTTATTCCTTTTCGAGTTTGGTGAACATGAACATTTGGTTCCACTTTTTATTTTTCAAATAACTAATACTCCCATAAGTTCTACGGGAATCTGTGATAATTTTATGTGGGATAGAATATTGGATAAGAATGAAGGTATTAACAATACATGAATTAAAACTATTAAGTAATGAAAATAACCCATGTAGACCAATATTTTAGTCGGTTAAAAAAATAAAAGGACATTTAAAACATATATTGTATAATAATTTTTAGTTCAACGAACCAAACATTTAATAATAAATAACCCGTGCACTATTAATCACTGCATTACTAATCTTTGCATAACAATCTCTGCATTACTAATATTTGCATTATAATTCATGCATTACTATGCTTCTAAATCAAATGACCCCTTTAAGTTATTATATCTGGGATCAATAATGTATTATCTATCTTAGTACAATAGATGTTTCCGTATTGATTTTCAGATGGCCAACCTTCGACAGAGGAAGTTCCAGAATGTAGTAAAGGACACCAAGGTAACGTCCACCCAAATATAACAAAGGTAAAGTCTCTTTGATCAGTCTCTTCATTTGTCAATTATATAACAGGGCACAAGTACTTAGTTCTTATGGTGACTACAAAATTCAATCTTGATTTCACTATCATAAGAGAATTAGTTTTGCTGAGTTTCTCTTGGCTTGGTTAATGGAATTTTAGTTAATGAAGGTTCGGATTCTTTTTCGCATTCAGTTTAGAAGCTATTAGCTTTTTGCTTAAACTGTTGTCTTTTACTTTGGCTTCATTTATTGCAGTCTCATATCAAATTGTTTTGGGATGTATTCACAAAATTACGACTATATCGTGACCTTTCATTTTGGTATTGTTGTCACAGCATCCGCAAAATGATAGTTGTTATTCTAGCCATGTAGTAAAGGAGGATACGTTTTGCCAGTTGCCATTATTATCGGAGTATGAGCAGCATAATAATAATTGCTACTCCAGCCATGTAGTAATGCAGGATAGGCTTTCCCAGTTGCCAGATGAAATTCTTGTGTCAATTCTTTCTCAGTTGACATTGAGAGAACCGGTGCGCACACGTTCCCTTTCAAGTCGATGGCGATACATTTGGATGCTTGTCACATGTCTGAACTGTGATGTAATCTCAGAGTTCGGGATAAGGCGTTGAATCCAGATTTTTGCGAAAAGGAAGGGCTGAGGCATATCAATTGGATTAATCATGTTGTGGATTTACACAGATCTCATACTTTAGAAGAATTCAGTGTCCGTCTTCTTTTTGAAGGTAATTTCAAATGTGAAATTGATAAATGGCTCAAGTTTGCATCATCAAAGAAGGTCGAAAGCCTTGAATTATTCTTGCTAATTGGTTATTGGGTAGAATCCGATCGATATTCCATTCCCATTGAGCTTTTAAATCATGGAAGTAGTGATGCTTCACTCTTTGGCTTCGGGGCTCTCAAAAGTCTAACTCTAGACGGAATTGATGTGTGCAATCAAGTTGCCAAGATTTTCCTCTCCAACTGTCCTCTTCTTGAACAGTTACCTATAAGAAATTCTCGGTTATTGAAACATCTAGAAATTGGTCCTTCCCTCAAGTTGAAGCATTTGGAGATATATCTATGCAAAATAGATTATTTGGAGATCTGTAATGCCAATCTTATCTCCTTTGGTTTCAAGGGAACGGAGGAAACAAACTTGTGTCTAGAGAATGTTTCTTCGGTTGTGAATCTTCAGATTGAGGTTTACCGTGGATCGCTGCCAATTCTCATTGATTTGATTGCAACAAAATTCAGTGAAGTGGAGAAGCTTTCATTTGAAGTTAGTTCTGACCAATTGAGGGTAAGCAATTTCCCTCTTCCATAAAGAATAAAAGAAAGTTTTGGTGCCTTTTTTTCCTAGTCTTCCTTCTAATTATTTTATCTTTTCCAGGCTCTTGATTTTCGTCATTCTTTTCCGAAATTCAACAATCTCAAATGGCTTATATTGAGTGTTGTCGATTGCACTCTACTTGAAGTTACTCCACTTCTGCAGGCATCTCCATACCTGCAAATGTTCGAGATCAAGGTAGAGATTTATATATTTATTTTCTTTTGAAATATGGTTAAATGCGTCCTTTTACTTCTGATCTGGTGTCCACTCTTTTCAGACTCAACGAGAGTTGGGACCATGATCTGTCATGTCTTACTTGCTTTTGTATTTCTGGAAACTAATATTGGATGTTTGCGGAGGAATGTAGTACTATTATAGGATGTGCTAGTACTCTGTGTGATGAAGGATTTGAGGGATTCGCATAATCTATATATGTTGCCATACTAATTTAACCCCTTTCTTTGATTCAATTTCTGATTCAGATTATAATAAAGAAAGATTTACTATATTTCAGAGTATAATTGTATTAGTATTTCTTTTCTTTTTTTCTGATTGGCTGGTCTGATACAAGGATCTATGGTGGAACTATTCTACCGCTACCTAGACATATTCCGTACCACCATCTCAAAGTGGTCCGATATGAAGGTTATCTTGGCGGTACAGCTGATGAGGAATTGATAAATTACCTTGTCGAAAAATCTTTAACGCTTGAGAAATTCATCGTTAGTCCTTGCGATCAGTCATATTCCGAAGTTGAGCGAAAAACCAGAAGTCGGGCTTGGCGGCAGCTACAAGGAAAATTTTCCAAAGGAGTCGAGCTGGTGATCCTTTAAATCACCCTCTGAGTACTACATCTATGACTCAGTTGAATTACCAAAGATTTATCAGTAGCAGTTATGATTTACAAGCACTCTAAATTTAGGCTATATGCAATACTAGGAGCAGATGCAGTGATTTGGAGTAGTGTTTACTTGTTTTCGTATATTAGACCTTCTCTATCAGTGCTACCTTTATGATCTGTAATTTCCTATTCCAGTTTTCAATACAATCAATCTATCTATGTTAACCGTGTGATTTGAACTAGTGTTTACTTGTATTCATAGAAAGTGGGCAAAATCCAATGCAGCACTTGTCATTTTTTAACTAGATGTGTATTCATATGTTCTTTAAACATGTATTAGAACTACATTACAACGTCAATTCAATTTTTTCTAAAGTAGTTTTTGAAGTTTTATACTCACAAAAAATTTAATTTTTTCATGTAAAATGCACGTCCAAGCACAATTTCAACTTTCAAAAACCATTTTTCATCTCATCTTCAAAATCTCATTTTTTTTAAATTTCAATCAAATCTATGTCCAAACCGCTTGCTTAATCTCAAAATACTTCAAATGCAATCCCTGGAGTTTCTCAATTCAACGAGGATGTCATGTGACTTCTACTCTTCAAAAAAATAGATTTCAAGGCTTGATAGTTTGACATTGAATTGAATTTGCACTTGAATTTGATTTCGATTTAATCATCACAAACACTTTCATGAACATTTTGTTACAATGGAGAGTGAAAAGGCCAATGCAGCAAAGCACGACTACAAAACGTGTAGATAAATATTTACAAGTTATTGTGTTTTTTAGTTGTCTTGCTTCTTCTTGTGATTTTTGATGAAGAGTATGGATGGACAGGAGTTAAAGAATTTGAGCATCCAGCCCAAAATCTTAAGGCAATGGACCCTATTACTTGTTCAAAGAACAATTAAGGTGAAGCAGAGTCAGGAACGACGAATCATAGGTGGAGTGGTCCACGACATTATAAACCCTTTAGGAGAGCCTTCCACAACCAATGACGAACAAGTGCATTTCTCTTACAACAGGTTCAACGAGAAGCCAGCCTAGGCCGGAGTCAGCATAGGATGAAAAAGACGGTCCTAATCTGGTTTTGGCTTTGCAATTTATTGGGCTGTGGTCTGTGATAAACAGACTTTAAGGACTCTAGACTAGTAGCAGCATAAGGATTGTAGTCAGTTTGAATTCAGAACAAATCCCTCAAAGATAACAGTAGTAGTCAAAAACTTTATAATCTAAAGATTCAATCTGACAGTTGATATTACACCCTAAAGATGTAAAAGCATTATTATTACAAGGCCAACAGAGGAACATACGAGTACATCGGTCTCAAGAACATGAAAGAAAACCAGGATACACATCCTGCATCTTGATAATCACTTCTTCTTGGCAATGAACAAACCCCACCTCTGCTCGCCGGATGAACTCCTGATTAGCTTGGCCTTCCAACCTCCAACTATTTCATTGTAGTCTTGCTGTAAAATTAATAACAGAAACAAAAGTAAGAAGTAAACCTTTGAACCACAAAAAGGAAAATCACAAAATGATCAAAAGATGATGACAAAGTACTCACTTCTGAGAACTCCTGGATAAATGAATCTCTTTCCTTCTCCACAGTATTTAACTCCTTTTGGAGAACATTAATGAACTGCAATATGCAAAACTCTTTTAGGTTTGTCTCAATATCTTAGTTCGCGTTCATTTACAAAGAAAAGAAGATCTACAGAACACACCTGTTCAGTTCGATCCTCAGCAATAACTTCGTCAAAACCAGCATCTCTGAGCATCTATATTAAGGGGAAAATGCATAAGAAGCACTGTCATACAACAAACATGAAGCAGAGAAGAGAAGGGGACATGCTTGTAGAATGGATATATACCTGGCCATATTCTGCAACATCATGTAAATCATAACCCCTTTGCTTAATATACCCTGCAAACTCTTCTGATGCTGGTCCTGGGCTTTTGCAGTAATCGCTTATGAGGACTTTGCCTCCTGGTTTCAGCCAATTGTAGAAAGATCTGAACAAAGCAGGTTTGTCCTGAAAGTACACAGTAATTTAACCGTAAGCAGACAAATAAAACAGCCACATGGAGAAGGAAAGAAGATAAAAACGATTTTGAAGATTCATGTAGCAAGAAAGGCAATTACTTGGATGTGAAGGATAGTGTCTCGACTGTATATCACATCAAATGTGCCATCAGGATACGTTTTCTTTGTGCAATCAGCAACCTCAAATTCAACGGCACATTTGAGACCAATAGCACGCTCGAGAGCAAAAGATATCATGTTGATTGAGAGGTCAATGGCAACAACATGAACATCATAATTCTCAGCCATGTAAAAGTCACCTCCACCTATGCCACAGCCAACATCAAGGACTTTTTGGCCAGGCTGAAGATCCAACATGGAGACAAATTCTTTTGTGGTATCTGCTCAAGATTAAATGCCTAATCAGCAAAAAACTAGATAAAGCACAGCAGAAAGTAGGATTAAATGATTTTGAGTGGAATGATCAAATTCAAGTTAAAGAAGAGAATTTGCAAGCAGACAGGAGATGAAAAATAAACAAAAAAATGAAACTGTGAAAACTCTTTCGCTATAACCTTCAGGCCGACAAATATAATTAAGAGATACTCTAGTACACTGCATGGAGTTGGATTCTCAGAAATCAAGACAAGAGAGGCAAGGAATCTTAGGGGCTTACCAACTCCACCGGTGCTCACATAACCTTCTCCAAAGACACGTTCATATCGCAGTATGCCACTACACTTGTATTGAACGTTGTCCAGGAAACGCTGGAATCCCCTGTCTTCCTCAGAATTAACTTTCTGCCATAACCAACAAATCTGCAAGATGCGAGCAGCAAAGGGTGCAGTGATTGGATGTTTGGGTTAATAGTAAAAAACAAAAGGGCAATGAGGGATGAAAATCTATATACCTGATTCTGATTCTTTTTGTTTTTTACATAAGCTCCAATGCACTTGCAACCGATGAGAGAAAGTTCAAATGATTTTCCATCATCAGCATTTAAATGGCATTCCTTAAAAACCTGCATGCGAGTAAAGGAATCGAACAGGTTAAGCCAAGCAAAACAAAGGCAATGATTGTTTTTGTGACAAATGCACCAATACCAAAATCCTTTATGCTGTTAAAGAGATTTATATTATTTTCTCCAGAAATGTAGGAAAAAAGAAAAGAAAACACACTTCTAAAGCGTGACAACAAATTTTATTCTAGGGATCCTAATCGTTGGTAAAATATACTTCATGCACTGATTTAACTGGAAAATAACAAGTTTCTGTGATCAACATGGAGTTTGCTCACAGTATTTTTCCAGTGCGAAAAGCAACGGAAGAAAAGTTAGACCTTTGTATAAAACCTAGGCTCCCGATAATGGGTTGGGTTGTTCTTTCGCTTGTGGTCTCCTGATTGATGGAAGCATGACTCTCTGAAAAATATGTAGCCTCCAACTTTCAACCATTTTACCATTCTCTCCACAAGACTCTGGACCTACAATCAGGCAAAAAGAAACAGTTTCAAGTGTTAAAGCAGTACCTGTTAAAGTGGCAACTCAAATTGATAAGTGTACAAGAGCAAGAGATATCCCTAACATTGTAATTTTACCATCAAATTATTATAAAATGAATCATAAAATGTATTTGGTGTCCAACAGGACAAGATACAATTATAGGCCAGGCTTTTTGCATATTAAACCACTTTCATGTTCTCAGAGTTGCTGGTCAAATTACTTATTACGTAATCCTTCTTTTCAGAATGTTTTAGCAAAGAAAAGAGGATTCATTTTGATAATCTATACTGGTCACTTACACACAGACACTGACCGAACAGTTAATGGACAAGCTTTGGACATGATGCCCGACTGCCCGTAGGTTAGATGATATCTGATCAAAAGAGCTATTTGAAAAATCATGCGTAGATGATAGTTGCAGATTTGCCTATTATAGTCATGTTTTTGCCTAATCATGACTTATACACACTTCTGATATAAAAATGAACCTTCTTTAAAAGTTTGGTTAATTAACAAACTTAGGAGTTGAGTATTTGTTCTTTTCTACTATCCCTGCCTCCTTCTAAACTTGCAGGCAACTCGGGTCATCCATTTCACGTAACGTGAAACCCTTGCGATTTTTTCAAGCAAAAGATTAGGCAGAAGGTGAAAATAAAAGTACCTCTTCATCAGAAAGATACATCAGTAGCCAGTTTGAAAATATCAAGTCCACGGATTCAGGTGAAAACTTCAAATCAGGAGAAGTCACATCAGCACACATGAACTTGACATTCTTATGATGCCTATTGATGCTTTCGTTCTGCAATAAGCAGAATAAAAGATGAGAAAAAAGGAATATCTCTTCACTAAACTTATCATCACTTAAGACTGCATTAACAAGAGAACCTTCTGAACAAATTCAGTCACAGCCCCCAATAAAAAGAGAAAGAGAATGTAAATGACTAGAGGGGGAAAATGTCACGAACCTTCTTAATTGCACTTTCGATAAAGTCCAATGCTATAAGCTGCCCAGCATTCTTGGCTAATTCACCAGTGAAACGGCCAATACCAGCACCCAATTCTAACACTGATTTCCCTTCATATGATGGGAGTAGAGAGAGTACCTAAAATGACCATTCACAAGTTTCAAATATTTGTCACATGTCTACCAGCATACCATGTCAAACTCGCAAAACAAACAAAACAAAACATGCAATTCAAGAACAAATTCAAGTAAAAACAATATAAAAGCAGCCTGATAAAGTGAAAATCAGAATAATAACTTTTGCATCTCTAGTAACATTAACTATATATATGCATCAACTCAAAGACAATAAACGTCTAAAAGAACAAGGAGGCTGTAAACCAAAACAGATCACTCTAAACATAAACAGATAGCAGCATACATAATAACCATCAAACTTTCTGCATGCTAGAAGGTTTTGGATCAAATTTCCACCCCTAGTAACTGAAATGCAGTGCAATTAGACGGATCAAAATTCCTACTCTACTTGCCGTAATTCAGTGCAATTGTACTGCGGAAAATTTTCCGGATCACCAGTATAACTTCACATTAGGCTTCTTACTAAATATGTGGGTGCACAAGGTAATTCTTGACAACTACGAGTTGATAAAGAGATCACAGGGACAAACACACTAAAACTATAAACTTCAGCCTGAATGTCAGTGCCAGCTCCTTTTGTCACTAGAAATGACATAA